GAAACAACGAACAAGGAAATGTTTCTATACATCCAACACTCTGTAGGTATCTGGTTAAACTGATGCAACTTTTTTATTTCTATAATTTATCAGTCGTGTGCTACCATTTCCGAAGCATCCTGTATGTAAACATTACAAGCTACATATCTAGAACAAATCTCCTGTCTTTTGAAAAGGCAGATCGATTTGCATGTTCCCTGCATTTTGCTTTTGAACAAATCTATTTCAATATGTAGACATGGCGAAGAATTGAATGGATTGTCAGCTTGCGTTAGGATTTACTTATTGGTCAGCTCCCGAATTTCCTGAAATTTAAAATCTCTTGTCAACGTCCAAGAATACATATTGGATTTGACTGACAAAGTGAGGTCGTCTTGTGTTATTCTTTAATGTATTTTTAAATATATTATTTTAAAAAATAATTTCAAGTACTGTGCCATTTTTACTCAAAATTAAACAAGTGTGGTCATTTCCAGTTATTTAACTTGATTAGCCTCAGGAATATCTCTTAAACTGCGTCCCGTTCTGAATATGTACAGGGTGTTTTGAAAAAGTGCCACAAGTTCAGGGGTTGGTATAATTTCTTATAGGTAATTTTTTTGTCTTTTTTTTTTTGTATTCTCACATTAGTTAGATTATGTTTATATTGTACTTCATCACCCTGTTTTTTGTTACTTGTTTATTGTTACTTGTTTATTGTTACCCTCTTATTGGGATTTTTAATCCTGTTGGGTTTCCTACTTCTTAAATACATAAATAAATAAATAAATAAATAAATAATTTCACTCAATGGATTCACTCCGAACTTTTTTTTACAGTGTATCTACTAGTTCACTTATTAAAAATCTAACCGACTGTATTTTTAATGGCAACTACATATATTTTCTTTGATACCTTTCTGAGACAGAATTGAAAGGGGATTACATGAAACCAAACACGATACGAATTTAAGATAAGAAAATCAACTCTTTATTAGATATTTCGAGAAAATATATAATTTTCAATGCTCTACACAGGCTGTTACAAATTTGCTTCTCACTACAAGGATCTCGGAAACGGTAAGAGGTACGAAGTAGCTTAAATGGGGGCAAAGTTGCATAATCAGGTGATCAACATTATGCCTCTAAAAAATCAGGGCTAACATGATTAGTTTCCGAAATATTTGAAAAAACCGAAATTTTGGAAATCAGTTTTTGTTTCGTCTCAGTCTTGTTTGAGAAGATATTGAAAAAAGAAGAATACTTTCTCACGGCAACTTTTTGCCCTCTATCGAATGGCATAATCGATTTTTATATATAACGTTTCCTCTCTTGAGGGCCATCATCTACTTCATTTTTTTAAATACAACCTTAGAAATTTTATTATATTTTTTGCAAGCCTTCATGACCCCCAATACTGTACTGCCTCAGCCCGAACCAGATTCAGACGTTTTGTCAGAAACATTCATCTTCATGTATTCGTTCCAAATATATCTAATTTTTATTTTAGATTTCTGTTTCTCGAATTATCGTACACTCTAAGTGTCGTTAGGCCATGTGAAATCCACCTAGTTATTTAAACTATTACCATTATGCAACTTTGCTCCCATTTAAGCTACTTCGTATCTCTTACTGTTTCCGAGATCCCTGTAGTGAGAAGCGAATTTGTAACAGCCTGTATACAGGTGGTTTTTTGAGATTTTTGTTCTGAAACAAAATATCTAGCATGATTTCAAATTCATAAAAAAAAGTGTTGGTGCAAAAATTTCAATGTTTTTAATCCAATTTTATTTTTTGTTTGATTGTAGTTTTTCCTCACTAGAAAAGTGTTCTTTCTTTGCGAGATATCACAAAATGTTGACAAAAGTTTAGAAAAACCTAAAATCAGGCAAAATTCAAAACTCACATTTTTTTTCTAAAAACTGATATTTCATACAGAAACAGGATTTTACTAACGAATTAAATTTAAATCAGAAATTAAATAAAAAAGTCGAAGTGGGACTATGACACCGAAATTTCATTCTGATAATTTTTTTCTTATATTTTTACAGATGAAAAGAATAAGACGTTTTTAAATTTCCAATTTCCTAACTGGATTTTACGAATTTAAAATCATGGAAAATTTTGTTTCACAAACAGGCAGAGCTAAATTCTAGAAACCTATTTTTCAATAGCAACATTTTTGTCTCAGGAGTAGTATGTTTGTTAGTTTTCTTCTTAGAATGTCCTGTGGAATCGGTTCTTTCCATATTTCTTTGGAAACACGCATTGTGTTTTATTTTATTTTACATCTAACAATATTAACACTAATTACATGATGGTGTGAACAAAGAAAATACATACAAACACTACTATTTGCCAAATTGGAACTAATTTAAAATGACTTGTTTCATACTATTAACATATAACTATTACAAGATTGATAAACAGGAAAATTGATTAATATATTAGTCTTGGGAATAGCAAATGGAATGTAATAGAAGAAGGCGATGTGATCTAGGAACATTAATACCAAAGTTTTGTAAAATCATTGGGTCATCAATCACATTATGCATTATTTTATGTAATAACAGCACAGAATGGCAATGCCTTCGACTATACACTCGTAAAGGTTACGTTTTTCGAAAATGCTAAAAATTCCACAGTTGTCCTCGCAAGAAATTACATGATTTTAGGTGATTACACAAAAGATAGTAGATAACTTAAAAACTAGAAGAGATAGGTATAGGGAACCCTGATACCGCTCGAAAGAGAATAAAATTGTGTATCAGAATATAGAAAAACATACAGGGTGTTCCATTAAAAAAATGCCGACTTATGAAGGTTTGACGTTAACTAAACTCGGCATTAAATTTCTAGCACCCTGTATGCAATTAAGCCACTTTGAAAGTATAGATGGGAAGCTTAGGGGTCTAGCTATCCCCCCTATAAATATTGTTGCTTTATCTTTCTTACTATAAAATACACATGGTTTGAAACTAGTCACTGTTTTTCTCCATTTTTTTTTTAAATTAAATATCTCGAGAACGGTTAATTTTAGGAGTAGGGAAACTTCATAAAAGTCCACCTAAAATAACACGTAGAATCCAAAATTGCAATGATATATAGGGTGTTCCCTTTAAAATAAGCAAGTTGATGGCGACTTCCGGTATATCCGAAAGTGGTACGTGGACGCTATTATTTTAGTTGAGAAGGGCATGCCCGAAAACCCGATATCCCAAATTTTCAAAATTCAAAGCGAAGTAGTCTCTGAAATAATTCTAATGGGCCGTCACCGTGAGACACCCTGTATAGCGGAAGCTTTTTTATTGAATGTTGGGTGGTTGTCACAAGTTACTCGCAAATCAGTTTGTAGTCTTTGAGGAATAAAATTATTTACAGTCCGTACAAGATTTGTCGACACAAAATTCCAAATGAATAAGCCAATAAAGTTCTGTTATCCGAACTACTGTAACAATTTACCGCATCCTTTCTGAATTTATGGCGCCGTTTATCAAAACACCTTGTATATCAAACGCGTTTCTTCGTCCTACTGACATGGGCCAGATAGCATTAATTCATTATTAATTATTGCCATCGAAATCTGTTCCAAAAAGATCGAGATCATTAAAAAAAAAATGATTTAATATTCGGTTCCCATGGCCGTCGATAATTTATGAAATTGTTCACGGGCCGGGGTAAGTGTTCTATTTAAATTAGTAGATCTATTTTTGTGGCCGCGGTGGACACGGTGTGGACCCCATCTGCCCGTCCGCCCGTCCATCGACGGACTTCGCAAAGGGGCCCGGTGACCGGTAAATAATGAACCTGTGTGACTTTACAACAGGGGGCATGCAAGGCCTCACCCCCCAGGGGGGCGTATTCATTTTCAATCACCACTGGATACTGACTGAATCCGTTTTAATTTTCCATAAAGAAATATATTGTTTCATAACACTTCGTTAACTAATCATCCCATGTTTTTTTTTTTTTTTATTAAATATTACTGGTTCACCGGTATGAAATTACGCTGGTATTAAGTTTCATTAATATTCCGATACGTATTCGTTTGTTTTCGTAATTAATGACTTCAGTTGTTACTAAAAATTTCGTTACTACTGTTTAGTTTTGATTTTGAACTGAAAAAACATGTCTCGGATATGTTGAAGTAATTTAGGAACATCCTGTGTTACTTCATACTTTTACGCAACGGCGAGGAACATGAAAAAGGAATAAAAGGGGTAGGAAACCATCACTGTACTTAGCTGGCAACGCAACATAGATTACAGGGTCCAGAAGCAGATTTATTATATTTTCGATAGATGGCGCTAAGGATCTAAGACGATAAGCATTTTATTGACGGTAGGTGCATATTTTGATTTTGTGGTAAAGCGAATTAATTAATTGGATATTTATTACCAATGAATTAATAATTAAACTTATGTTTGTTGTATTATGTGGTGTAAAATGTATTCTGTTATATATTTATGCACCTTTTTACAAATTCTTTCGCTAAAATATAAGTTTCTAATATTTTATAAAAACTATGTTATTTAAATAGCATGTGTTTTGTCATAAGGAAACTTTTGAAATTGTAATAATAAATCGGGATATCCGGATAAAATTTCGCTAAGAAAACTAATTTCAATAATGAAATTATTTTTATAATCAATTAAGTGTTATTACTTCAAATTTACATTAGAAATTAGATTATCTAACATATAGGCTGCCTTTAAATTCATTATCATTGTTTGAAAAAATATGGAGTAGTTTTATAATCATTTTAACGGGCAGTTCAAGCAAACACCGATAGATGGCGCTATATGTGCAGCCCTTTCTAGACTTATATAAATAAGTTTTGAAGGTTTATAACTTAATTTCAGAATATATTTGGTATTGTCGGCTAGTTTTAGTATTTTTTTTTTACTTTTTAAGAATCCAATTTTTGTTTTAAGGGTGTAAGGGTGAAATGAGGCACTTTGCGTACGACAGCTATAATTTTAATGAAGCCCAAAGGCAATACATATTTTTACTGTACACAGGGGTGAATATGCAATAACAAATGACATTTACAGAAGTGCTTATGATACGGATATAAATGGAACATTAGTTTCGAACGTAATTCGTTTTTTAATAGGAAACTGAAACTTGTAATAACAATAAAATCTTTCCATTAAAATAAATGAGCAAGTATAAATAATTTAACTAAAACATTTCTGACAGTAGGTAAGTTTTTTTCGTATACATTTAGGACAATGTCAGGATCAATATGTTGATATCCACGAATTTTCAGTATGGTAGGTTTATATATATACATCTATACATTTACAAGCAATATAGCGTATTTACAAAGTTATTGCACATTAAATATACATTTTTTATGATTACTAAATTGTATTTGATCACCAATATAGTGAATATTATATATGGATTACATCAACAATTGTTATTATTTTAACGATTTCAATTATTGTTTAAGCAACATGTACTTTGACAGAAGAGAGATATGAAATATTGTTAAACATTTTCCTACGGTTTAGAACCTCTAAACAACTTAAGTTTTTAGATATTTTGGATTATAAAAATGAGCAACTGTATAATATTCACATTTATAGCAGTTTCACAAAAGAAGAATCACAACTTAGAGAGATCACTAATCTACTGAATATATGTACAAATGAGTATTTTCAAGACTGGCTAATTTATATAATACAAAATTAAAAAATATAACCCAAGTGTGCAAAACTGATAATAAATTAAACTAAATAAACTGGCTTTCAGGGAAATATAAACCTAATTAATCTACAATCACATGTATGAAACTATTTCATAAGTACTTGATCAGATCACCACCACAACGGTATCGTATTAAAGTCTAAGATATTATTTAATGGTCACGATACCTCAGCGTCCCTAGATGGTGTATTTACATGAAGGGACTCATTCTCTGAGTGTATATTTCTCCTGGTTCTAGATACGAATACTTTTGGACAGCCAATTACGGTACACTTAAACATTTCGGCTAAATGGTTCTTTTCACAATGTTCTTTTAATTGTGATGCCATACTGAATGATGTTTTGCACAATCTACAAGGAAGATTCCCGTCTTTATCAGGAGTTGGAAGATCTTCTTCTACACAATGTACATATTTAACGGGTCCTGGGGATATATTAGTCGGTGGAGGGGATCCAGAAATTGGTGAACTAGAAGTGGAGGAACGTTCTTTGTGCGTCGTGGAAGCAGAGGAACCGTTGAATTGGCTAAAATGATTAAAATTTCCTAGAGGGAAGGGGAGACCACCAAGTGGAGGCAGTAGCAGTGGTGGATGTGGTATTCGGTCTCCGTTGAGCATTAATTGATCTAAATTTGGTGGTGGTAAGTGATGATTTTTTAATGCTTCTTCCGCGTATAACCTGGTAAGGAAATCGCCGTGTAAAGCTGGATTCGCTAAACTTGCGAATGGTGATTTTTCTAAGAATAAGCTAGCAGCCGATTTGTCGGAAGTCGTGGATAGTAACTTTCTATGTAGATTTAAATTTGCACTGTGCCTGTCCCTACTTCGTTTTGAAGGAAATGCTGCGTTACACCCGTCTACGTTACATTTATGCATCAGTTTTAAATGTACGTTTTGGTAGTGCGTCTTCACGCCGAAGTGGTTTTGGAAGATTTTGCCGCAAGCGGTACACCTCCTTGGGTTCTCCTTGTCGACTGGGACGTCCATTGTACTTATGAACTGGCCATTATCAAAATGACCAAATAGTTGATTCTGACTATTTTCATCTGGCGATTCCCTCCCATTACTGCTGCCAGCAGAGGAAGCCTGAGAACGAGCTGGACTTGGAGGACCGCCTCCCATCATAAATCCCAGCGAAGGAAATTGGGGAGGATGGCCGCTTAAGCCTAAATGTAGCCCTCTCGCCATAAGATCGCCGAAGTGTCCATGGGAGAGACTTTCAAGTTGTCGTAAAGGGTTAGACGAGTCGAAAGATTCATCGCTTTTATTGCTTTCAACTGAACTCACTGGTCTTTCTTCATGGTCCTCTTGACTTTCCACTTCATGAAATGGTTTTTCTTTTTTGATCGTCTTGTCAATCAAGAATAGGGGTGCCAAACTTGTCTTAATTTCGTTGCTAACGTTTTTTTCGGGTTCGTTCGCATTGACATCGGGACTTCTTTTACCTAGATCCAATGGAGTTTCAGACATACTCTCTTCGTTATTTGTTTCTTTCGCCTCTGGCTTTCGTTCCATTGGTTTCGCGTCAACTCTTTCTTCTTGTTCGATTTTTATGTGTTCGGATAGCCTCTCGGAAAATACGTCATTGGAAGAATCGCCGTCGCTAACATTATCCTCCATCATAACAGGTACAGCACATCTAGTCGGATTCTGACTCTTACGCTTCCTTTTGCTCGTTTGTACATTTGTTTCGTCTTTTAAACTATGCGTATCTACAACACTTAAAGAATCTTCGTTACTGTCTACATTGCTTGCCATATCTTCATCAACGTCGGAAACGGACATTTTCTGCTTTTTTGCCGGCATGCTAAAATCTTCTGGTTCGTCCGATACTAAATTTCCATTTGACGTTTCCTTTTTGTCGGTTTGTTCTTCCTCTTCATCACCGCCTACCACAACAATACCATCATCATCATCCTCTTCCTCTTCTGATTGTTGCTGGTTTGAAGTTAACGCAAGAGCGCTGTAATCTTGGAAGGAATTTTTGTTCTCTTTCATACGCTGAATACTTAGATCCAATGTTTGTTTGAAATCCATTGTTGCCAGTGAGTGATATTTCATATCTGGAGGTGGCGTAAGTAAAGGAAATGGCCCAAAAGGATTTAAAGGGTTTAAAGCAGCAGCTGCTGCTGGCAGGCCAAGGCCGGGTTGTGGAGGAATGAGAATTGGATGGGACTGAGAACTTCTTCCGTCGTGTGGGGAAATTTTTCTTCGGAGATGTGGCGAGTGTAACTTTGGATTGGGATTTGCACTGTGTCGGTTCCGAGATCTTCTTGAACTAAACATCATATTACATCCTTCTACTGTGCATTTGTGCATTTCACGCAAATGTACGGCGGAGAAGTGGATTTTTAGAGCACCTTTGTCGCAAAACGTTTTTAAACATACGTTGCATTGTACGCGCTTTTTCCCCGTAGCAGGATTAATGAACTGAGTACCCAAATTAAGCGGTAAACTGGGCGAGCCCCATTGTCTTTTGGTGGGAGTGGACGGTTTTCTTCCCGGCAAAATTCGCGAATGCCTAGGCGTTTTTAGACTATCTCTGTCCCTACTTAAATTAAGAGCACTATGCGAGTTCTCATCACCATCATCGTCTTCTTCACTGTTAGTATTCCCACTTAAAATATCTGCACTGGAAGGCGACTTACTACCGGTTGACATTCGTGTCGACATTAGGCCAGGAAAAGAGGAAGCAACTAAACTTGCAGCTGCCAAAGAGTTTACTGAAGCTGCCACCATAGCCGCCGCTGAATGACTTAGTGAGGCAGGGGGTGGAGGGGGAGGTGGCAAGCATGAAGGTAATGAGGTAGTCCTGCTTAAATTCAATCCCACAGATTCACTTTCTGAAATCCTTCGACGATCAGGGCTAACGCGACTTGGAAAACTGTGGAGACCAGCTCCTAGCTTCCGGTAGTCGAAGGGTTGCATATTCTGCAATCTGTTAAGGGGCGACGAGTTCAGTGGGCTGGTGTTAATACTTCTTGGTGGAGAATTGGTGGAGATAGGTCCGTTCGTAGTGGGCATCTTGAGAAAATTTAGTGGGTGTTTTTGATGAGGCGACATCGTTGGTAATCGAGCTGGGTGAAACGCAGACGTTGGAACGTTTGGGGGTGACGGGCGATGGTTAGGAGACATCGCCCGACGTGGATGGGGTGAGTGCCGACGCTCGAGGCGCTCCAGTGTGGGGTCCTGAAGAGCCTGTTGCGCCAGAATCAGTTGTTGCGTTATGGCTCTTGTTTCCCCAAACCTAAGAAACTGTTGGAGGACCAGAGGTTCCTCCTCAGGACTGCAAATACTCCATCGGTCCAGAGTGCTGCCGTGTGACTGCTGCAAAAAATTACAGAACGAATTAGTGTTAGTCCTCGCTGGTGGAAGTTGATTGTGATTGATATTTAAAATAAGGTCCGGGAAAACGCGGTGGTTTGCATGAAAATAAATAGTGAATTGCACGGAGACCGACATCGATGTTTATTGAGGACGGTGTATAAAAATATACGCGCTTCGATAGCGTTCTTGTTTAGAAATGAAGCCTGCAGAATGTCTCCCGCACGTTTATAAATAAACGGGGTGCTAGTCACCTGCCCCTCTCAAGTTCAATCTATGCCAAACAAACATACGTTTCTATTACAAGAGGACGTTACCAGGATCGCCTTTCAAACGATAATCAAACTACTATTTATATATGACATTCATTAAACTCTTGCCTGTTTGCTGTCTGTCGATATAATACGTTTACATCGAATTAATAACTATTTACTTTTGGCGTATATTTACCAAAGTTATGACGGTGACATCCTGTTGTCTTAATAACAATTAACGCGCACATTTATGGATCGATTGGGGTACACAAGCAAGGTATTTAAGTACCTTTAGTTTGTACTAGGTGGACTATTAAATTTATTCTCCAATGTCCCCTTCTGAAGTCCGTCGGTCGAGCATAAAGCACGATGTCTCGACTACAAGATAATATTCTTCGTTATTATCGGATACATACTTTTTTGTGGGTAAATTAGCGATTATATATTGATTACTTAACAAATTTACGCATATCATGCATATAAAACAGGTATCTTTAACACTTTCCGTTGTATACTCTGGTAAATAAAAGCGACTTCTCAGATCACGTCTTAATGGGAAAGAGGTTTTTTAACACAGATCCCATTTAATTCCCGTAAAATAAGTCTGGTTACTACGTTTTTAAAGATGCGTACCTAATTTGCGTTTCGACATCCTATCTTTTGAGATGGGACTTTTTTAAGAATAAAGAATTGGAAATAAATTAAACCGAAATAAAATAATATTGAGCATAAATAATGATTACGCAGAAGTAAGAGTTTAAAATTAACAGTAATGGCGGTGTGTGAACAGAACACATAAACAGTTTGACTTTAAAATAGTGCCGTAGAAAAAAAAAAGTTGGTATACGGTTGATTATAGCTAGCAGAATTACCGTTTAATCACAACCCCACTTATTATTTAAGAAAGTGTATCATTAAATATCAGAATTCGACATTAGAGGATGGGGCTATTAATAAAAAGAAGAAGACCAAATGCCCATTTTAAAAATTATACCTAACTAAAAATTATTGCTTCTCGCAAAAATGATATGCAAAACACTCTGTAATTTTAGTGTCTGTGATTCTGACCACTGCACGAAATAACTGGCTGAAACATTTTAAATATTAATAAGGACCAAAACGCATTCGTGCCAAGTAATTTTTTCTACTATGCGTTTTTGGAACACTTATGTTACAAACACAAATAAAAAAGTGAACTACTAAAAAAAACATAATTGCTAGTTAACATTTGAAAATTGCACTACCTGTAAACAACAAACCAAATTAATTTGGCGACGCGAGCATTTTCTGGCTATAATCTGATATAATTCGGCTCCTATTATTCTTTACAAATTGTTAATTTTCATTTCCTCACAAATTAATCAATCGAACAGCTTACGGTAGTTACCAAAGAATACTCTATTCAGAAGTGCGACGGTAAGCGATAAGTCTAACTGTTATATGCCGCGCTCGATACAAAAGGTAGCTTCATCCAATTTATGTTACGATAAGCAAAAAATCTAATTCTAAACACTTTCTGTTATGTGGACGAAGATGGTCAGTTTTTAATGGTGCATGTGTCATCAGCGGTTTCAAAATTACCATCAAACGTCAAAGGACTTTGGCGTCATTATTGTTAATTTATTTAATAACACCAGGTACTCAAGCACCAAAGCCTTTTAATGCAGCTACTTCATTTAATGGAACTTTATTCATTCGCTTCTAACAATCATTTTGTCATCAACTGGACATCTTCCTTATCAACAAAAAATGCGAATGAGCTACCAACAAAATGGAACTAAACAATCCGAGGAAATTGCTATACTCTTTGCAAAAATCATTGTTCCGTTTATTTGTTTATAGTATATTTGGTGACCCAACTCTATTTACATCTTTTTGGTAAAGCTATTAATTAGAACTTTGTGCACAAACTCAATAATTTTTAACAAAATTCATAGTTGCGCTAACAAAATATACATCAGGCTGTGTGTGATGTTTTGGTTAAAACAAAACCGTCCAAATAAATTTTTTTTTGAGCCAAATATACCCCAAATTTTAAGTTAATTATAGTTTACAACTTTTAAATGTTTAGTGGCATGTTTAATATACTCTGTTAAAACATCTGGGCAAAGAACATTTGTTTATATCAGCGTAAGTCTGCTATGAGTGTAATCCGATGACATATTTTTATGGTTGTGTTTGTAACAGGATCGGCAATGCCAGTTTGTTATTAATTTAATTTTTTGAGGTAGAGCAATGGTCTTTAGTATAATTTTGGGCGAATTTTATTCAACAATGTCATTTGAGTATTTGCATTTAAAAGGAAGTGCATTGGTTATGCCAGTGGTCAGTAGATCACCTCTTCGATCCATTCATCAAGATTATGTAAACAAGATCTTTTGTGAAAGAGCGCAGCGGACAAAAAAAAAATCATACCTGCAGTATATATCCTCTAGCGTAGTCGTCACTTGTCCACCCAAATCCATGCAACACTTGAAGCACTTGTTCTTTTTTGAGCACAGAAAACAATCGATCCAGGAGTATTTTAAGACGGATTGGTAAAGCTTGACATCCGTAAAGCACTAAACTGGCGATGTCAAATGCCGCATTTGGTTGCACCGGTTCGGGAGCACTGTTACTGAAGAGATGTCGCATACCCAACTTGTCCAGCGCTGTAACAAAAGTGGGGATAACTCAGCGTGCGCACTAGAGGCGGGGCTTCTATTTTAAGGGGGGGTTGACAAGGTGGACGTACGGTGTAGGTGACGATACCCCTTCAGAGGGACATATTGTACCCCCCGTTATTCTCTGTTACCAATCGTTGTCTGTAGTGCACAGCTCCGACCGCCACAACTTTGCTATCTTTATTTTATCTATCTTAAATGCAAGAACATATGCCGAGAAAGTGTCGGCCACTTAATAACCATCTTCCGTGAACTGTACTGTAATTTTATGTACTTCGACGTTACATCTGTGCTGTGCACTACACCAAATTATTACATCAACATGGACGAAAGACGAGGTCTTCTGGGGAACAAGGAAAAAACGTTCAATTACTCATCTGGGGAAGTAGGCACTAATAAGGGATCTAAGGGTAGCAATGAATGATAACTATTTGCAACCATCCAAACACTGACAGTTTTGAATCTGTTACTTAACAGTATAGGACTGGATAAAGACTAAAGGCAAACGAACATGAATCTGGAAGAAAAGTGAATTGATTACATCTGTATCTCCATTTCAAGAGGTATGTGCAAGGAATAACAAGAAATGCAGAAGAACAACGGGAATAAAAGAAAGTATAGACACATTGTTGAATCAGAAGACAGAATTGAGTGAAGATTAAAGAAAGAAAGAAAAATTAGAGAGAAAATAGTATTTATATGATGTTATGAATTAAGACAGTACATTTTGAAGAAGATTCTTCTAATAGAATAGTGAAATTTGAGGGAATATGCAGGGATTAACAAGCAAAAAATATGGTCTATATTTAATGCTGAAATATGATTTCCAATAAACGTATACTGTATATTTGTGTAAAAATTCCAGGAAACTTGATTATATATAAAACGCCTTAGGTGATATATAGTAGATATAGTTCAGAACCCAACGGAAAAATAAGGTAAAAATTGTTTATAGACATTATATGCTTGAAAAATTGTTTCCTGGTCAATTTTAATGATGATAATTTGTCGCCTTCTGACAGTGTTTGTAATTAAACTGACAGAATGAATACAGAAGGATTATTTGATAAAATTTTACTAGGCGTATTTAACTATAATTTGACATATTGTAGTGGTAGATATGCAACGTAGAGTTACATTTTTTGATGTGATCTGGATATTTCATTCTGTGTAAATTCATTAATGTGAAACAGGACGCTGAATTTGTTTGGGTTTACAACAAAGGCGTACTCATTCTTTTTAAAAATTGCTTTCATTGAAAACATATACTAATTTTGTCATTATTTTGCACTGAACTGAAAATCGTTATTATCTTTCATGGGCGTAGCTAGGGGGGGCGCACACTAGAAAAAAAGACTTAATATTATCGTCTTTGTCATATCGGTAAGTCGCTGGGCCTTTTTTTTAGAATAAAATCAAAACGTGTGAAATTTTATATTTTTTTTTAGAGACCTGCAGCGCAGGTCCCACCCCAAGCGAAAATTCTAGCTACGCCCATGTCGTCTTTACTTAATTACATTTCAATCGTATTTATTTTCCTTTTGCATTTGGAAACACGGTTATTTTTACGCTGACAATAGAAAATATCGCAGGAACGGCAGGAATAGATTTAATTTTCGGTCACTGCTGGCAATTTACTTGATGCCGGTTCGAGTAGGTGTGAAGGAAATGTATCTATTGTTTACTTTCAACAACTTAAAATATGCGAACAACCTGGTTTTTGTAGACACTAAAATTCGGATTGTCTAATTATCGCGGCTTTCTTTTCTTGTCATAATTCAGATAAAATTTTCATGCTGTCGCATATTAAGACTAGCTGCAGGATTAATTGGTCATTAGGCATTGTATTTTAATTGACGGTACAAAAACTGAGACAATTTTAGCGGTATTTTGAAGAATAATACATTTCATTATATGCTCGAGTTCACTTCTTGAATGAACCTGTTTACCACGTTCCATGCCCGGTAGATGGCGATTGACAGTGAATTGCTCCTCCAGTTTTTTGGACTACAACAAATCAAAGTGTAAAAAATTGTCCAAATTTACCTAACGTAAACTATTTAATGTGATAATTTCTTAGAGTGATGAGTAAGTTTTCTTTTTTATGGGGTAGAACGCGTTTTATACGAGGGTTTGAGCATAGTAGGTCATACCCGTATTGCTGCCCTATTTTCGGCAATAAGAAGGGCTAGAAACTGCCCTAGGCGGCGTGGAATTAGGGTACGGTGCAGCAAACAGTCGCCCTTATAATTGGAAATTTTTATCTATCTATTTCGCTTTTCATACAGTGTACAGACAAATACAAATACATATCGCTCACTGCAAAAAATTAAATTTGTCGGTTCGTTTTTGAACGTAATAACTTATTTTTAATTATTTTAGGCAGATCTGTTGTACCGAGGATTCATATGTGGCATTCTAAAAAATACTAATACACCAACTACTGCTCCACACACATACCTCGATCAGTTCTTGCGGAAACGTCAGTTTGTGTCTTAAAATTACAACAGGGCGACCAAGGGAAACGACCGACAGCTAATTTCATCCTTTTAAACAATTATTTAAGTATTTGTTTTCTTACTACCTGTATAGAATTAACTCCGAAGTCTGTCTTTTTTTTTTCAAAAAGGATTACATTACACGACTGATTAAACTACTAGGTATTATTCCAGACAAGTGTAACAACCCCATTATTTGTCAATAATGTAAAGTTGAAATAAGAATTGTATTGGTTTGTTGGTGCCCTGCTAAGCAATTGTATCCTAATGTATTTAAGTCTCTTTTGTCGGTAAGCCCACCCATGTCGTTTAGTTATATGCGGAATAACACACTGTATGCGCACCGACCGAACTCGCTTGACATTTTCGACGAAGATTTTAATGTTGTGTGTTTATTTTTTAATAGATTACTTCGACTTTTCATATTCCAATATTTTGGAACTTTGTACTGTACAGGGCCTTTAGAGGAAAACTGCCATAAATTCAGGGACATTAAAAAATAAGAGGGCTTTTTCCTACAGACCTGATTGTCTTTTGTTTGGCTCTTTTTTTAAACATAAGTTCATAGTATCATAATCATAACATTAACCACAACTAACCGTAAACTGTTCTCTTCAGGTCACAATTTATATTTTAATTTCATCTTTTTTCAGAACATTGGTAAAAATATTTCGGAAAAAATTTATGTAAAAGAGCATAAAATGTACCCGTTGCATATGGTACACATATCTTTCCCTATAATTTCCACTTTTGCAGCTGTATTGGTGTAGCAGTGCCAGCCCTGGGGACAAGGTGTTGCATTATGTTTTTTAGAACGGTGTTTAGCACTTGGCACTTGTATCAGTATACTATTACGTTTAAAACGCTATCTACTGCAAATATCTTTAGGCATAACCGGTAATTTTTCTAAAGCCTCTAAAATTGTGCGCTCGCTTTTCGTTAATTATGATATAGATGTTATATTGTCGTCACCATAACCCTTTTTTTTTTCTATCATACTTACATTTAATAAAACGTTTGAACGCTTGAGGCTGCAGATAAACATTTCCTTTTTAATTCTCAGCATTTGACAACGCTTAACTCGATTAAGAATTCCCAGTATGACCTAACTATTATATTATTATTGATCGTGTTGTGCCAATTAATAGAATCTTATCTCGGAGAGTTAATGAAGTTCAAGAAATTTTTACGAACTTGTCACCGCATTTTTAAGTGAAAAGTTCAGCAGATGGTGTTTACCGTCTCTTTCCGAAACGTTAATTTAATAAGGACAACCGAAAGATAACTTAATAGCGGCGACATTTATCAATTAAACATTGGTTGTCGTCGATAAAGCAATCTAATTACTTATAGGGGGCAATTAAAGTTATTTTTCCAGTTTCAGGGAGTAAAAATTAGACAGTGTTCTGTAAAGTCAAGGTCAAGTGTGCGACACTCGAGATAATGGAAGTTACGCGTATGTGTCGTTAATAGAAAAGTTATTAGGTAGCAGTGGCGTCGCAGACAAGATTTCTTTGAGGAAATACACAAAAATTATTCAAATATTATATAACTGTTAAAACTTATGGACAACCTCTGGAATCATCCCCGACTTACACACTACACAAAATTAGGTGAATAGTTGTAGAGAAAAATTGTTTGTTCACTTTAAAGTAATCGTCAATTATGGAAAGGTTAGTGAAAACTGTTAGCAGCACGTCTTTATATGCGGTTTTTTCAAATAGGCTTTTGTCAATACTTACAAACAGAGGCAGAGCTATCGATAGAATCAGCGGTTCCAAAAACGTTTTTCTCGCATAAATGTGGTAAGTAATGACGTAGTCGTAAGTTATGGAAAGGTTAATAAAAATTGTTAACTGTCTTTATGTGCAGCTTTTTCCAAATAGGCTTTCACCAATACTTATAAACAAAGGAAGAGCTATCTGTGGAATCGGGGGTTCCAAACAAGTTTTTATCGTATTAGTGTGATAACTAACTAACTTTATAGACACATTACAATTATTTTTTACCTTATAGTTAGTTACTATTTAATAGCGAGTTTTAAGTAGAAGTGACTTAAAGGCAACTTTCAAACTAAGAAGTAATCTGTATGATTTTGAATGGATCTATAATGCTGCTTACTACGTATGACAAATTTAAAGCAATTTTGGTGACTACATCAAAACTGACAAAAAGTATCTTAATTAAAAGTTACAATGATTGATATTGATATCAGTCACTGTCTATGATAGTTGGGAAATTGCCGCTATGTTTGCTAATATCAATAATTTATTACATATATAAAAAAATAATATATATAAAAAATTATATTTAGAAATTACTTTAATAATAAAAAATCAGCAGATTATAAATATATTAAGAATGATCAAGAGCATGTTGAAATCAGAAGCATCAGTCATGGAATCTGACTTCTTTTAGGTGGCTTTGCAAAATTATGTTTTTGTCGAATAGTTGAATAAAAAATATGTTGTATTTATCTTTTATTAATTT